CTCTCCATGCTGTCTGTCCATGCAGACTCATGACACTGACTCTCCCCACTGACTCTTGGCACTGAATCTCCATGTGAACTCATGACGCTGACTCTCCATGCTGTCTCTCCATGCTGTCTGTCCATGCAGACTCATGACACTGACTCTCCATGCTGACTCTCCACACTGACTCTCCATGCTGACTTGTGGCACTGAATCTCCATGCTGACTCTCCATGTGAACTCATGACACTGACTCTCCATGCTGACTCTCCACACTGACTCTCCATGCTGACTTGTGGCACTGACTCTCTGTGCTGACTCTCCATGCTGATTCGCGGTGCAGCCCCAGAAGGACCCTGGTTGCCCATGGTGTTAAGGTGACCACCTGCAGCCCAATCTCCTGCGTCACCTTCTCCTCTTTGTCACCCCTCACAGTGAGATCACGGCATGGGGTGCTGAAGTGATCACTAGGGAATCACAGCTTCCCCTTCCTATTGGTGGTGGTCTCACCTCATGCAGACCTTCTCGGTGCTAACAACCCCCCTCTGTTTCTGAGTGTGGCCCCTTACCCAGCACACAGGGGCACCACGTAGTGTTGAGGGACAGCGTTTCTGCGTAGCATTGGCTCCCTGTTGACCTGCCGCATGTGTATGGTGGGGGGAAGGGACGGCGTTGCTCAGCTTCTCCTTCCCAACTTAAACAAAGAGCTCTCCAGCGCCACCACCAGGCCAAGGCAAACTCAAATCAATGAGCCCTGGTAATGGGGTTTTCAGGCCCCGGATAGGTGTCTCTCCAGGACGCCTGTCTGATCTGTCCCTGTTGGGTGGCTGTTTCAGGATCTGGGATGGAGCTCTTTACCTCTTTTTGGATGCTGATGTGGCTCCTTGCAGTTGGGGGCCGGGGAGGTGGGGGATCCCGGGCCCCCACCGCTCTGCTGTTTATCAGGTCCCTTTTCAATTAAACCCTCATCTGCACCTGGCCAGGTGGCCTGTGATCTAAACAGCTGCTTGTGGTGGGACTTATGCCAGCAGACCCGGACACATGGTCCTTGGGGCTCCAGGGGAAGCTCTTATGAAGGGTGTTGGCATATACCATTCTGAAGATGGCTGGGGGTCATTGTGGTGAAATGTAGAAGGTGCCTGACACCAGTCGGAGTGGAACGATCCTCCCCGATTCTCTCTGCTCACTGCCGTCCAAATCGCAGCAATGCCCCTGGGCATATTGTTCCCTGTGGGGGTGTTATAGGGTAACAGTCACGACGAGTTTGATTAACTCAGTGTAGAAAAACACTCTCTCTCTCTCTCTCTTGTTCTCTCTGCGCTTGCTGCAGTAAATCGGCCCGTAGGAGCTGCTGAGTATAAAAACTAATTGAAGTTCTTCAGTTTTTAGACACAAGTCACGGGAGATAAAAGCCTCACCCTCTATGGACCCCCCTCTCTCACTGCCAATATGGCCCCTCCCACCAGTGACCAGGGGCCCTGGCTCTTCTCGGGGTGGGGGTGCAGTCAGTGTGTGGTCTTTGTGAGGGAGCTTGCCCTCCCCCAACCGTAAGAGAATCGAAGCTCTGTGTAATTGGCCTGATTATGGTATTACAGCTGAGCCCAGCACGGACCTCCATGGTTATAATTATGCACAGTCACTGTCTCCTCTAATCTGGTCACACAGAAAAGCTGTGCAACAGCAATAGGGTGCAGATACACACACACACACGGTTACACCCCGGTAATGCTCTGTCTACTCCTTGGTTACACCCTGGTAACTACCTGGTTGTGCCCTAGTAACACCCTACCAAGGCCCTCGTAATGCTCCGGTGACGCCCAGCTTGAGGCTTGCTTACGCCCCGGTGACGCCCCCCCCCCTCTCGAGGCTTGAACAGCGACTTGCATTTCTGGTGGAAACTCTCTTGATGAGCCATCCATCGAATCTGGACAGTGGGGGCGGTTTCCCCAGGGATGAAGGGAATCTGCTCTTTGTCTTTGCCAAGGAAGAGAGGAAAGGAGAGTGGGCAATTAGAGAGAGGATGCGCATCACTGCCTCCCTAACCCCCCCCCCTTTACAGGTGGTGTCAGATCATACACGTATTTTCTGGGGAAAAGAGAGGGAGCCTCATCTCTGCTGTAAGCCGGATGATTTGAGTACATCACCGCCCACTCGCTGTCTACAGGGCTGTGTGGCTTGGGGGGAGGGAGCGCTGACACCTTATCGGCATGTTAGATGCGGGCTTGGTGACTTCAGCAGCGCCCCCCAGCAGGAATTAGAGGGGACGTCTGTAAATGGGTACTAACGCCTACTGGTGATGGCACCCCCTAGTGGAGGGCGATTCCCGCTACACCGGGCCCCTCGCGCTGGTGTAATGAGGGTTTGCCTCCCTGGGACAGGACGGCCCCAGCGAGCAGTCGGCCCTCTGAGGCTTCATCATCACGGCGGAGAGCAGCGTGATTCATCATGCGGAGCTGTTATGTCACGCGGCCACCTCAGGCTACTCAGGGTCTTTATTTGTTCAATTTGCTAGGAGATGAGTAGCACCTTCTGAGGGGCAGTTTGCCCGTCATGTCATCCGGAGAGGCCCCCTCTTCACCCCCCCAGCAAGTCAGTGGAATGCAGATGTACTACAGGCATAAACTGCCCGGAGAATCCTAGGTGCCCCGCCCCTGCGGACCCCGGCGGAATATCTGTGTGTTTGTTGTCGTGGTACCTTTCTGTCTCTCGTGTGTGTTTAGGCACAGAGCATTTTATTGGTTAACAAATCTACATGTGATTTACCTTCTCTATGGAGCGTGAAAATGTTCACAACGCAGGATTTAGTGATCTTATTTACCTTCTGCTGGTCTCCTCCTGTTGTTCTTCGCTGC